GCTTTTCCAAGAATTTTCTAGCATTTCCTCTTGTTTTTAGGTTCCCATGGGCAGCGCCCTTCTCCCCCAGGAAACGCATAACAAAGACACCGGCTGCCTCTCACCCGACGACTTGGGTGACGGGGGCTGTTCTCGGCTCCTGCATTTTGCTCAAGGGGTGCTCCAGGAAACCTACCCTCCCCACATCCAGGGCAACGTCTTTCCTCCTACCGTGGAACCACCCACTTCCACACCCTTCCGTCCCCCCCCCCGGCCTACTGCACTGCAGACATTCCGCCACGCGCGCGTGCCGCCCTCATGTACATGGCTACGGTCTCTTCGCTCGCTGGCGCGAGAACCTCGCCACCGCCTGCCCGAGCTTCCGTTTGCGCTGCTCCGTCCTAGAACTAACACGCCACATGGCGCGGACACGGGCGCCTGACAGGCATGCGAAAATCTTACCAGAGCCTTTCACGTTACCACGGGCACTGGCCGGACCTCGTCCAGCGCAAATCTAAACAAAGCCTAGAGCATTCCTAGGAAAATTCAAGGGCATTGGCCGGGAACACTAGAATCAAATAGGTTAACAATAGGTTAATCAATTTTTGGGCAAATCTGGGAACCTAAATACAAGAGGAAGTGCTAGAAAATTCTTGGAAAAGCATCCAGCCGAAAACCTAACAAAAGCATGATTACAACAATGGAAGAAAATAGGTTCGCAATTTTCTACGCAGACCTGGGAAACTAAAACCTCCTTTGACATCCTACAACTCCCTTCTACAACAAAACCCCATGATGTAGATCAATTGGGATAGCAAGATGTTGAACAAGCCACGTCGCAATCTTGCTAGGGGCCGTCTGGCTTCAAGCTAAAGCTAAAGGCTACGGCTAAATCTCTCTGGCTAAAGCAAGGCTAGCGCTAAGGTTCTATCCCTTGGGGGTCGGCGGCTGCAGGCGGTAGCCTGGTAAATTAACAAAAAAATATATATATATATGTATGTAATACAACAAAACTATACACAATATCAATAACATGTAGCTCAGCACCTATACGATGTGACAATCAAAATAACCCCTGAAGACACTCAAACCTCAGGCGAGGTTGCTGTCGGGGATCTCTCCTTAAGCCACCGGGTGGACTCTGCTGGTACTCCCAGCACTCAGCTCCTCACCAGCCATCCGTGATCGAGGACTCCCAATACGCCCGATTCGAGCCAACGGCCGCCGCCCGTTGGGGGCGAAGAATAACACGGTCTCAAACTGGTTGATGGATGGCGCCTGGTCCATGACGCCCCAAATTCAATACACTGGAAGTAGATCCCCACATGTATATTATGTATTCGCTTGGGGCGGTGGTGGGACAGTGTTCGGGTGACAATTGAGGAAGGAGAGATTCCTTCGTCACACAATGTGCCGTTCTCGTGCTTGGCTCGAAGGCAAGGCCAAAGTTCCAAGCCTGGAAAAAGAAGTGGCGAAGCTTCTGGAATGATTGACATCCGAGGATTTTTGAGACAACAGAGTGACCCAAACATAGTAATACCTAGGATCACAATGGATCACATTAATATACATATAACATCATGTTGCGTTTTTGCCTAGAATCTCGCTTTTGAATTGCTTTGCCCTCCACGAAGTATCACTGGGCTGATCTCAGGTTGTTGTTGGCTCTTTGCCTGGTTCAAGAGCCTGCACCACCATTTTGGGGGATCCTTCTCACAGAACAACAATCCCACCAAATCAACCTCATCCTCCACTCCGGTCATTCCTCTAATTAGCTATCCACGGCCCATCTGTTGGCACCACGACTCCTCAGGGACCCCGTGCTGAGAAGAGCTGAATCTGGGACTGAGGGCTTCCTGCGGCTCTTGGCAGCGCTCACGAGGATGGGGACCAAATGCTAGCAAAGCAGGCTGGACCGGCAGGATGAAGTATCAAACACTTTGAGAAACAAGGAGCTCCTTGTGGTATCTAAGGACCAAACACTGAATGGGTCATGGATGCTGTATCATACATGCACAGGTATTGTCTTCCCCCCTGCCTCCTGAGTTGGACAGTTTCAGTCACATCTTTGATCTTTCTTTCGGCACCACCTGAGGCCAGCGCCAGATCCTCCTCAGTGGGAATTGGCACCTGAGCTGAGTCATTTTGGAGGACCCTCGGAAATCAGAATGTTCATGCATGTTCACAGAACCCAATGAAATATAGCTTATGACTACAATGGGCAGCATCTGCCAGAAGCTGGTCACTCAAAACCTCCAGCCGTTCACTCCCGAGCCCCGAATCGACCCGGGTCCGAGCCCGACCCTCCGACCAGGGCCCCCACCACCGACCGGGAGAGTTCTTGCGACGGACTGCCCAATCCGAGGCCGGGCTCTGAGTTGGGCGCCGCCTGAAAGTCGATGGTGGTCGCGTCTAACTGCTCTTCCCAAGAGTACATGAGCTGTGCTCAAAACGTGTGGCATCTGCCTATGTCGTAAGACTTTCCTTACGCAGCAGCTTACGCCTGGCTTACGCCACCACAATGGCAGCTTACGCGCACACTTTGCACACAAAGGGGCTTACGCAACACTTACGCGAACACAATCTTGCACCCGGCCACAGCGCCAGCTTTCGCGCCATCTGTTTTCCAAGCAAAGCACAGCACACAACAGGTTTGTTACGTCCGCGGGTGTAGGGCAGTGAGAAGCCAGGATTTCGTAGATGGTCTGGACAATGCGTTGCCTTTGGCGCCATTGCGAGTCAGAAAAAGCCTGCTTTTTAGGAGGCATCGTGGGCCACCGTCTAAAAGAGAGGGGGGCTTACGCGCAGCTTACGCGAAGCTTACGCGCGCCTTACGCGTATTACCGACACCAAAACCGATAACTGCATGGTGACATAGTGTGTCTGACAACTGCTGGTAGACTTTATGGCTACGGGAGTTGTTTGTATGGCTATAGGAGCAATGTTTGCATGTGTCGACCCACAAAATCTCTGTCCTGATGCCTATGTCCTGTATATAAATGACTACAGGAACCCCAAGAACCCTTCTTTCTGTGGAGCCAATCACCTTCGACCATACCAATTGCCAAGAAAAAGATCCAATGCAAGGCTTCATCAACAAAGGTCTCCTATAATTTCCAAACATTTCAAGAATACATGTGATATGGTATGTTAAATTTCGACTTGCTTACGCGGCTTACGCAAGCTTCATCTCACAAAAAACGCTTACGCAACCTTACGCACATCAGAGTTTTGCTTACACGAAGGATTCATATGACAAGCCCACTACTAAACATGAACAGGGAGGTTCTTAGCGCGGCTCACATATGGTCTGTTTGGAGGTGGCGCAGAAAGCGGTCATTTGAGGATTTGAGATGATTTGGGTCAACATGGCGAGAAAAGCAAAGGTTCCCACCTGGGAATGTTCTCATGTTTCACCCCGCATCCGAGCATACCAAATCCGTGGACATTGGTGACCTTGGTGTGGTCTCAGGGTGGTGGTACATGGGTTTTCTTGAAACAGTCTTACCACCGCGTGTAACGTGTCTTCCTGGAAGAAGTGTCACACTCCAACCTCAGGGTCACCCACTGTCTTCCTTGGACATCTGAAAGGTGTCTCGGCTACGCCAACGGCCATGCGTTTCTTTTTGGCCAACCTACGGTACAAGTATTATATGATCAATTAAGCTACAGGATTTTGCCCCGAACACCTTTCAGTCTCGCTCCTTCCGTCTACACAAAGTTTGGCCTACGAATCTGCATGGAGTGTCACTTTATTCCCCGCATCGCAGCAACCACGATCTCGGTTTTTCTCGCACGAAGGTTATGGACTTAGTATATATACCTAGTACAGTATATCGGTTTCTCAAGAACTTCAAGATCCTCAACCGATCTCCACAGCCTACTGTATCACCCAAGCACCCCGGTCAGCCTCGGATGGAGCGGCGGCACGTTGGATGGACCTGGCAAGGTCGCCGCTGTCAGAAGTGGGTTCAATTGGGATGGGAGCCGTACCCCGAGCGGTGAATTGGGAGGTCAAAGGCGTGAATTCTGCAGATCCAAGCGCAACAAATAGAAGGTGCAATTGAAGTTGTTTAGAAGGTGTCTTAATCATGTTCTATTCAGACATATCCTGCACATTGCTGGACATTATATAACTTATAACATGAGAAAAAAAAAACAAGTTGCTCGCTTGCTTCTCCATTTGTCACAAGTGGCACCTCGCAGCTTCGCGACGTATCGTCCACGAAGACTCAGAGGTCGTGAAACGCACATAATGTTGATCACAGTTCCGAGAAGTGCTGCTGGACTTCTGCAAGTTCCCTTTGCATTTTCACCACCAAATGCTCTGACTTTGTTACAATTTTGCTTTGCTGCTCATACAGTGACTTCAAGAATTTCTGGCAGGAGAACTTCCACATCTGCTCACCATCAATGGGTTTTTCCTGCCTGGGCATCTCCTTCAGCTTTTGGGCATCCCCGTGGCAAACAAACCACAAAACATCCGCCAACTGCAGGACATTGGTGTCCAAGGTCTCTGTGCCCATGGCTTCTTCATACAAAGCAGTGGGGAACTGCAAGCGAAGTTGAGCTGAAAACGGATGAGTCGCCCCTGGCGACTCATTGCCCTTCACAACCACATTTTCAAGAGTGAAGACAGAAAGACAAGGGCCATAGTACAAGCTGTGATGCCATGCTTGGAAGCTGGTCAGTGCCAAATACATTCGATGATCATTGCGAAGGTCTCCGGATTTTTCAATCAAAGCTTGCAGCGTGTCAGCTGCCACCTGGATCATGGTGTCAAAATGAATTGCAGCATGACCGGGTCCAAAAATGAAGGCCGTAGAGTATAGTAGTGTAGTATAGTGTAGTGATGTAGTGTCAAAACAACAGCTTTAAAAGTTGTTGACAAACAGGTATCCTGAATCCTGACGATTGAAATGCAATTGTGCATCTCACATCACCAAAAAAATATAAACAACGCCCAGAATAGACCTCTAGACAAACCCTCACCTCGTAGATCAGTCCAATGACCTTGCGTTCCTTCAAGGGTTTCTCACGGTCATCCACCACGGAACCCAAGATCTTCACGTATCCCGGGAAGTTGCTTTCAGTCCACTTCACCACGCTGGGAAGTGTCGTCACCGCAGAGCGTGGTTCGGCCAACTCCAAAAAGTCCACCTTGGCTGAGTCTGGAAGTCCCGGGAAATGACAAGAAGTACTGCTTGGAGCGACAAATGTTTGAAAGCATGCCATCCTTCAAACCATCATGTTAAGGTAAATTCATCAATAACCAAAGTACAAGCTACCAAAGCCACCTATCCAAGGGATGTTCCTTTTTCCGAGGCCATTGCCTAACAGGTTAAGGATGGTTAAGGTATACATGGTGCATCCACCGAGTACGATCAACACCACGCCAACTACCAGGGGTCCAGGGGGCAATGAGGCGGGGCAAGCAGTCAGCTCGCACCAGCCTTTAGGGACCCCCTTCGAGTGCCAGCCTTTGGGGACTCGAAGGTCATGAAAAAATGGACCTCCATGGAGCTACAGTAATTACACAATAGAAATCATGCAAGTACAAGTATGATAAGCCCTCACCTGCACGACCCAGCGTGGATTTTGGACAGCTCATTCTCGCCTCGAATGTGCAGGCTCCCTACTAAATCAATCACTGGTGGGCGGTGGGCACCTTGTGATCCAAAGCCACTTATTGCAGGTCAGGCCACTTCGGGAATCTGTTGCCGCACTTCCTCTGCAAAAGGTGTTGCCCTGAAGAGCTTGTCGCCGTTCACAAAGGTCTGCCGAACCACATCCTCGATGACAAACTCGCTGCGATGGCATTGGACAGCGCTCTCCGCCAGGTCAAGCTGCTCTTGCGGAATTTCGTTCGCTTTGTCCGCCTCTGGTGACAAAACCCGCCAGGATTTGTGACTTCCTGAGGTAATGTTGACTCTTGATTAATCAACCCCCCTCAACAACCAAGGCCTCTAGAATAATATACTAGAAAACTATAATCAATTGATCAAAACAATTAGAATCATTACTTAGCTATCTCTGGCAATATTAAAAATGAAGGGAGTAAAGAAACCTAACTTTGAAGAAATCTGGTGAATATTAAACTGAAAAGGAACCAATGAAACCTCAGATTGAAGACATCTGGAATATAAAAACAAAGTGCGTACAAACTGTTGGAAGTGTTTGGAAAGCTTAAAGGTTCCAGAGCTTAGGATAAGTAAAGGAATAGAAGGTGAGTACAGCAGATCAATTAGAAAAAATATGTTCTTTTACAGCTGCACACCAAAAGGGAGCATATTAATCTATAACTATAGCAAACAAAATATCCGACAACTACCCCTCCAAGAAAAAAATAAGCTTTCCTCTGGTGGCCTTTATTTATCTGTGCAGGAAAATATTAATTTGTGCAGGGATATAAAAAGAAACATTATTCCATGGGTGTATATTCATCAAAGATCAACATGATTTGGACGTTTGGAGAGTCCTAGCTTCAGGCCCGACCAGGTGGCCGCAGTTTGGAGACGTTTGGAGATTCCCAATCTGAGGTGGCACACTGGTGTTTGCAGCCTTTGGGTGCCTTTAGTGGGCACCCTGGACCTCACGCAAAACGCTAGATCGAACCGTAATCAGCTGGGCGGCTGCCTTACATGGCGGGTGTACACTCGGGGCGGCACCGGCACATCCATTCCAAAATGCATCTTCCCTATAGGGTCTTTGAATGCTGACTTTGCTGCTAGTAGCTTCTTGTTCCTACTAGCGACGGCCTCCAGCCTCCAACCTACTTGTGATGGCCTCCACCAAATAGCGTCTTTGCTGGCTACACAACTGCACCGGACCTCCAGCAGCTGCAGTGCTTGCCGCAGCTTGGCGCGCTGCTCCAGCGTCAGATCGGCCAAAAGCTCATCAAGCTCGCTCATCGTCGTGTCGCTCACGTCGATGAGCGGAGCGCTCTGACTTGGATCTCTTGAGCCGCTGGAGCGAATCGCGAAGGTCGGAGCGGTGTTCGGTCTCAAAAATCATGACTGTTAAGTCTCTTCCAAAAGGGGTGCCTCTCCGGTGGCTCTAAGACACGCCGTCCGCCTCGTCCGGCGAATGGAGGCCAAGGACTGAGCCTGCGCCTAGCACAAAACCATCGAGCCGCCGGCGTCCGACCCGAACTAACCTTCAAGAAACCCCAAAGACTGCCACTCCAAACACCAATCTGTTGCTGCAAAAGCGTGGTGTCCGGACAGTGAGTCCTTGCTGTGAAAAGTGGGAGCACTGCTTGCATATGCTCCGACATCTCACCTGCAGGCTGTACATGTTGGGTCTCCCTATCCCAGTTTTGATGGTTAAAGGGGCGGAGATATTATCCATTTGGTGTGCAGGATTTTTCCCCCAGGTCGCCGATGCCTTCAGCTCTTCCAGAATGGGACCTGAAACTGGTTGCGTCCCACGACCGTCGAAAGAAAGGAGACTGAATTGCACTGAACCACTCTCTGAACGCTGGGAAAGGCCGGGAACCTGAATGAAACCCAAATGGAACATCTTCGTATATACATACTATATGATACTCCTTCATGTTCAAAATGGCTCTCTTTGTTCCGAATGGATGGGGTCCGAAGTTCACCATGAATCCGATGCAAACTTCACGATCGAAGGTCATCAGATTAGTTCGCAAGGTATGGCCGATGGCCTTATGGCAAGCCATAGGTGCCTATCATAAAACCAAACTCAAAAGTTGAAGTTCAAACTCAAAAGATCTCAAAACGGTGTTTCTATGAAAAAAGCCTTTGAGCGCAGGGTTCCGCAAAGTCTCCAGCTTGGTTCCAAACCTTCCTCTGCCATGGGCACTCAACGGCCCCCACGGTTGCATGCTACCTGAGAATGACCCCCAGCAATCCTGACTTCTAACCCTAGGTTGATTTGGAACCTGCTGCCAACAGGACACAAATCACTCTTTTATCCCAACAACGGCGTCCATGCCGATTGTGAAAAAAAACACTAGACCTGGTGCTGTTGGATACCCTGACAGTCTGGCTGCTTCCTCAGGTGCCCGATCTAGAACGTTATGTTTTGAATGCTCTGCTTTCCATGAGATGGTGTGAGCCAAGCTTGCTGGAACCTGACCTGCAGCGGCAAGCATTCCTATTGGCCGGAAGTATAGGCTAAACAGTCTATCACCAAGCCCAATATTTCTTTCTGGGTTACCTGAGCCAGCTGCCCTGTCTATATTGATGAAACATGACGTTTGCTTCTAGTGTGCAGGTCGAATGAAACATGCACAGTCTCTCGCATATGATTCTCTTGATTCCAGTGAGTGGTAGGTTGGTGGGTGGCCTTCAGCACTGCCATAGTGTCATAGATACGTATCTTGCACCAAAACCACATCCTCGCAAGGTCCTTGTGAAGCTTGGAGCTGCTACCCAAGGAGAGAACATGGCTAGAATCCTGATGTTCAAGACAAGGGCACCCAGGAGTTTCCAAACAATCCTTCCCATCCCTCCCCACTGAACACGTTAAAACACGTTAACACCCCCTATGGCCGTACGAAGTTTGCAGGTCAGGGGAGGGCATAAGCCAGCCAGGTGTAAGCTTTTTGCCCGAGAGCTTTCATGTGGATAGAACCATTTGAGAGTGTGCTGTAACACCCATTTATGTTTTTTTTGTTAATTCTAGTGTGAGCGACAGGGGTATTCGGGTCCAATTGCCCATCTCCTTCCACGCAACCAAGCTCCAGCTACATCCAACCGAAACTGAGAACTGTTGGGTCAATCACTATATAACTATATAACTATAAATATATATATACTGTTATATGTATATAATTAACATGACTATATATATATATATATCTTGCAATATGTATCCACGATGAATCATAATTAGGTATATATTTTGGGGAGGTCTGGTTCAGGGAGTTCAATCCAAAATGGGTCGTCTATTCATTCAGCAAATTCGCACCCTACATCTTTTTTGGCCTCGCAGCGCGCTGCGCTCGCTACTCGTGGCGTGTGGCCGCAACTCCTGGTGCCGCTACTCGCGGGCTCACTTGGTTTGGGTTCATAATCATTGAGCGCATTTAATGATCTCATCAAAAGCATTTCGACGCCTCTGGCACCCCGTGAATCGATGTTTAAAACCTGTTAAAACCATCTTTACAACAACCAACGCTATAAATCTAGGATAATCTAGGTATATACAGCTATTAATTAACGATGTGTTTTCCTTACTGTCTCGGCCTGGTCCCAATGATGCTCCTCCCAGATCCGAAGCGGAGAACAAATCGGGCGCGGGGCGAAGTGGAGAGGCGGCTCCTGTCGAAGCTGCTGATTCTGGAACTTGAGCTTCTCCATGGCCTCTTCAGGGGCACTGCCGACCTTGTGAGGTTGATCCAAAACTAAAATACGGGAATTAGAATAACAATATATAATATATACTACTACTAACAAGTGCATCGCTACTAGGCTACTAGTAACAAGGGCATTACTACTAGTAACAAGAAGCTACTAGTAGCTATTTGCTAGACAGCTTTCTCACAGAATCGAGCCAAAGCAGTCGAGGTCTTTCCTCACTGCATGCATGATCTTTTGATGGGATATCCACTGGTGGGTCACATAAATTTATACAACGAATCAAAACATGCACATGTCTCATCCAATACTTAACAGGTTTTCACCTGAAGAATGGCCCCTGGTGCAGTACTTACATGCATGTATATACCCCGTGGAAGACGATCCCAATCGATCCCATGGACCCTGTATATCCCACGAACCGTGCAGCTCGAGCAAAGCAGCTTGACCATCGGGGTGCTATCGACCCGGGTCCGATGGTCCGTCCACACCCCGGCGGGATGGGAGTCGCCGGCCTCGCGGAGCTCGTGTAAGCCCTCAGGTCGAGAAAAGAAGGAACGCGAAGCGGCATGGACATCCAAGAATGACATGTCACAACTTGCGCATCATCTCACAGAGAAATTCCACATGAATTCAGGTATTGATGCTATATATTGGTTGTTCTTCTTGAACATATCGTATCCAATGCATCACATGCTCTTCTGCGCCTTGGTGGAGAGGCACTCTCCGGATAGTTTAAGTCATTCCTGATCGGACTATCATTTTCATTCATTTTCAGGCTCGCTCACCAAGTGGATCCAAGTCGGCTCGCGGGTCACACCAAGAGAGCAGGAGTACATTACACTATATTACACTCAATGAGTCAATATTCAATAATGCTTCCTTGTGCAAGAATCCAAAACATGTCTTTTGCATGACTTGCCCGATCTTGCTAAGAGGGCAGACAAAGATAGCATCATCGGAAAATGGCTACCTCCTTCAGTGAAGATCCCAGGTCCTCCAGCACCTTCTTGGGTGCAGAGCCTGAGCCTGGGCCTTCTGTGGCCGCCCCCAGCTGGAGGGGGCACATCACCAACGGCACCTGAAGGTCATCCTCTGAGTCACCATCTTGCTCTGGAGCCTCTTCGAAGCCCACGGCCTTGTAGAATGAAACAAGCTCTCTCTTTGAAAACAACGTCACCTTGTCCACCTTCTGTTCTGAACAGCGCTGACATACATGTTGTACTAGTCGACGCCCATGGCCTTTGCCTCGTTCCTGAGGAGTAATGGCGATGTAGCGCAAAGACATGGCACCATGAAGCACGCCATAGACCACAAAGCCAATCAGCAGGTCTGCAGCATCCACGAGGGCGGTGGCCGTCCAAATTCCTCCGTCCACGATCTCCAGTGCATCTTCTCGGAACTCCTGCTCCCCCAAGCTGCGGATCTGCCCACAAATGTGGGAGATGGAGATCTCCTCCTGGGAGATGGACACCAAGCGCAAGGGTTCTCGAAACTCCGTTGCACTCAGGCTCCGCATGTCACACGGCCTCATCTCGGCCGGTGAAGAAACGGCGGGTGCGGTCTTGGCACAGTGGAGCTCCCGCTGGGCCCAGCGGGGCAGCGGTTGGCCAAGACGGGCCTCTTCCAACAAGGGCTGTGGCCAACTGGAAGCGATGGCCGGTAGATCATGGCCAGACATGTGCCAGGCTGATGTTCTGACTTGCCAATCTGCTAAAGAACTAAGATATATCATTACAAAGCAGCCTAGTCTAAAGTCAAGGCATGACTTCCGTCGGCACATGCAAAGCCAGTCACTGTCGTGAAACTTGAGACTAACACTGTACTATGACTCTGCTTTAACATGCGCTGGCTGCGAGCCGCTGCTTATGGTGTCGCTCATTATAAATCAAAGGCACACTTGCAAGCAACTAACATAAGTGCAAGGCATCAATCCTTTAGCTGGTCGTCTGATCGCACAAAACAGGCTCACACCAGGAGCCCAGCATCCTCCCCGTCGGCACCTGCAACGAGGGCCGAGTCGCTCTGGTGCAGCAAAATGACGCGTTACAAGCCACCTGGCCCTCGCACCACCCAACGTCCAAACAAGACCAATGCTCAGAACTTTTCCTGCACTTGCTGTGACTAGCTGGCAGGTGTGGCATCAGCATGGGCTGTTTATCATTCATGGATACTGGGGGACTTCAATCATGCTCTGTCGAACATCTTGGGCGATTCTTCCAAGCACAAAACAGCATGGCAACCAAACGTGTCTCATCAAGAGACAAAGTGACTGTGGACAAAGACGTGAAATGCTCTGTGGGGCGAAGTAGCTCCAAAATGTTATGACTCTACTGTTCTCTAAGTGATCCCACTACCGTCCACAAAGGTAAAGTCATCATAAATGAAACGTATATAATCATATACAAATGGAAGTTAATGAGAACCCCTGCAGCAGGAAACACCCCCAGTTGAAACAATCCCACATATATAAATGATATGATGTACGATGAATGCTGTTTTAACACAATCTGTATAAGTCATAATCTGAGGGCAATGTCATAGTCCTCAAATGTCGCCAGCAAATTCCAGCAACACCCACCCAAACTTGGGTTGTTGGCTCGTTCCTGCCTCCGGATGCCACTAGAAACATCTAGAAACTAGAAACATTGGAAGTCAGCAACATCGGCCGAAAAAGAGCCGAGCGGTCCAAGACATGCATCGGTCCAAGAGGTCGGTATATGGACCCCCAATGCTTCTGGGACACAAGGTGGACAACTCCAAGCAGAACAGGATCGAAAGGCACGGCACCCAGAGGACGGCACCTCTCTGATGCAGTCTCGCTTGCAAACCGCTGTTCAGGTCCTCCACGCACCACACACGGAACCCTTCATGGGAGATAGAACATGTCAAAACAAATGAAGATTCTACATGAGGTGATGCGAAATGGTAGATCAAATGCCAGGAAACCAAATACTCATGTGAACAATGAACAATGTCACACCTCTCTGGCTCAACGCGCATAGAGTATATTCACAGCTAGTATAAAAGACAATTAATATTCAATTACAATAATTTATGTAAAAGCACATGTGTGGCAGTGTCCAAAAGCTGGAAACCACAGCATCCATCAAGTAGACACACCCAAACCTACAAGCCTGGGTTCCTTTGGGCAAGGAGGATTTGCCGGCCCCTCCACATGCCAAAAGTATTCATCAGGCACTGAAAAGCGGTCCATGAGCCGCTGACACTCACTTCGAAGCAGCGACACCTCCGAAGCAATGGCATCTCTTTTGCAGGTGTGAGGGCCCCTGCATCTGCATGTGTGCTGGTTTTTCTTCTGATCTACTTTTGTGATCATGCATTCATCACGTATTGCGTTAGGAAGTGTTTTCTGGCTTTGGTGGAACCAGGCAGGTGTCGAACACCATTCGAATACCAAGGACTGCTTCAAATCCGCCTCCAAGACCTTAAGGAATCTCAGTCAGTCGGCAGGCATTCTGCAAGCACACCAACATGACAACCGTGGCAAAACTTCTACCCTGCTTCTGGTGCCATGTGCGGGAGAGGCTCTGAAACTCGCAGCTTTCTTCCGGAATCCCCCCTGTAGGTCCCATAGGTGTGCCTTTTCTGTCCACAAAAGATTCGAATGAATTGAACTTGGGACTGTTTCTAGAATTCCCGGGACTATTTATCATATGTAAGCACTGAGAGTGTCTAAAAGCTATACTATTATATACTATGTACAATATATTTCTCATGACAAGTCTCCAAGCATAGTCTCTCAGCCCTCGAACGGTCTGTGGCGTGCAGCATCGCGCAGCTCTCTTTTGGCCCACTCTGCTTCTGTGTCCAGGACTTCGTGAGACATGCGACATCCACAGGGCCTGAAACTGGATCTGATGTGACGGGGCATGTTTTTAAGTACTCAATCGGACACATTCTTTCGTTCAAGATGATTACAGTAACCAAAAAACAGTGGTGATCGTGACGACCGTTTCAGTCAAGCCGTTATATCAAACTTGCAAGTTCTGGGTTGGGGTATGCGAGACTAAGGCGCAAGACTTTGAACATTTATGGTTCTGCTTGATGCTTACAAGGCTGGCCATCCGAGGACGAATTGTTATAATTACATAGATATCCTGGATTAACATCTATATGCATTTCAGCCGGATTGATTTTGCATTTTGCATGTGATGTGTACACATGTGTACACATGCATATATTCGTATATATATATATATGCGTCATCTATCTAGAATCCAAATAAAAACTATCATTTGACCCCGCCATATAGAATTTGACACTTTCGACTCCAGAGCCTCATCCTCGATGTGTCCGGATCTCCCGGTTGACCTGTCGGAAAAAAAAAGACTTCAGACCTGTGCATTCTGGGTGTGGAATCAACCATGTGCGAACTAGAGTCACATGAAGAGATCTGAGAGTTTAGCCTGTTGCTCACATGAAGTTGAATAGATCTTTCACCTGACATATCCTGACATGTTGACGGGCACCGGTACACGGGCACCCCCCCCCCGGTCAGCGAGCCTGAAAGCCCTGCCCTACAGCCACCGATGCATCGCTTGCTTCGCTGGTCTGACTCGTGCCGCGGACCACACGGATCCAGTCGATGAGATGCTCCACCTGAGTCAGCACAGGAGCGGAGTTCCTCTGAGTCCATCACGACCACAAGGAAAAAGGAACATGGGCCCTGCTTTACATCACTAGTCAGCTAGTGAGTGAACCACAGTCCTCCCGCCCGCCCGCACGCATACATAACTTGCATGTCCAAAAGCAAGCGAAGTTGCCGATGCTCCGGATGAAAACATCACGTGAAAATTGCAAGGCAATGGTGCCTTCTCTGTTTGGGCGGCGCAGCAGCTGTTCACTGTCATCGAAGATGGACAAATGCAACAGGCGCGTGATCATGGTCTCGAACACCTCTAATCTCTTCCGGCACCCAAACACACAACCAAATGTTGGACAATATTGAGGGCACCGGACCTGTTTACCACAGCCCGCACATGCCACCTGGCATAAATGTGGATTGCACCTGTCGATCCTTGTGCGCTCACTGGATGCTGCATCTTCTCACTCTAAAAACGATAGATTTGGCAACTGTGCCATCGTGTTCGAGTAGTATTTACGGTATGCACAACATGTTCCAAGGGAAGCCATATAATTATATATGCTCCCCCCCGGCATCCCGTGTAGCCTGCTTGGGCAAAAAAAAACATGCATGTCATCTTCTAAACTCTCCTGAGGTTTTTTTGGGAGGTGTGAAGCCGCGTCATCCCAATCGCTTGGCATCGTCACTGGCATCCGCGTCTCATCAGGTTGAGGTGAGCCCGGCCAAGCTCCACCGATCCTGATGGAATGAAACATGGGAAGGCTGCCAGTCATCCTACCTTTTTCAGGAGACCCTCTGGCGGTCAGTGCGGATGTCCATCATGATGCGAAAGGAAACACATCGGTCGCAAAAGGAGCCACATCGGTCCAGGACCAAAGTGTTTGACGACAAAACACGTCTTGGCGTTGCTTTGGTAAGGTGCATATGAGGGTACACACTCATTGCTGTGCGAAATCGGCGCAATCCGTTTAATCAAACTGAGCCGTGGGGATAGTGAGCACAACACTCAATTCAAACGTGCCTGTCCAACAAATGAACTAAATAATATATACCATCTATATCAAGCATGTACAGTAATTAATTCATCACAATTCACCCCACCCATTGGCAAGCTTCGCAGTGTTCAGGATCAGAAAGAATGGTGAGCTTGAAATTTGAAAGCCGTGTTCTTCACTGCTAAAGCGTCCTTGCAACGCATCTTGCAGGCAAGAACCAACCAAAAAACATCTTGGCGCACTGACAGATTGATTAGGCGGGAATGGAATATGCTTGCCAACGTCAAATAGTTTCAAAGCCTTCCTCAGAATCAGGCTTCACATCTATTGGACCACCATCACATCTATATAGGTATTGTTCCCTTTCCTCTGTGGGACTCTATGTTGTGGCCTTCTTTGAGAAGCACTCTGACTCCATTAGTGAGAGGTCAAGTGGCCCACCACCTTGCCATCGACTGCATAGGAGATATGGTCCATCGATCTGGCTGCTGAAGCTGTCTGTCTCTCTCTCTCTCTCTCTGCCATTCCGTCCCGAATTTGTGTATTTCCCGTTTGTGTACCATACTATTGCACAGCCCTGACGTCCATGCAATTGCTGCAATGCTGGCAAAATTGCATGAACAACAATAAACAAAGGAGACATTGTTCTCTTTTAGCACTGCTGTGATTCCACCTGCTGCCAAACTACGTACGTCCAGCCACAGAACGCCCTGAGCCAGGCTTGAAGGATTTTGTTAGTTCACCAAGGTATATATAGTGACATACATGAGCCCTTCCTGGGAAGCTCCACGCGCGTCGCGAGCAAACACCAGCAGCACCGTGTTCCACGAGCCGTGTTGGTCGAACCAAGCCCCGCTTGCCCCTGCCCTGGGAATGAAATACATTCTTCCTCTGGTGTGTACTGTAGCAAAAGTTTCAGGAATGTCTAGTGAAGTGTCTTTTGGATATTTCTACACGTTTCTTTTAATTTTGTCATGATATTGCATATTGTGACTGATTGTGGCATTCTGGATCATGTTCCAAGCCAATTATTGATAAGAATGAATCCCGTCCTGTCCCCCTGTCAGTACGACGGGCCTCTCCACCGCATATTCATGGAAATCGCTGCTATAACCTTCAGTCAGTTGCGTCATGTGCAGGGTTCTCACCCTCTCAACGTTCTGGGGTGGTCGGGCTCATGAAACTCCAAAATGTCGATTGACAACTCAAGTTCGAGCCTAAGCCTCATCCAAATGCCCAAACCATCTAATTGCAATAAAGATTCAAAAGAGTCTTGAGATCGCATGTTTGTATGCCAGTTTGGAGTGAAATCCTTCAGCCCAAGTCATCCATGGTGGAGCTTTCAAGCCAAACAAGCCAAACTTAAGAACCCGGCTTCGGATGCGGCGGGAGGAGGCAGCCGACTTGTGGTAGGTGTCGAACTTTGCGCACCGTTGTTGCGGCCAACTGGACATCCAGTGATATGTGTTGTAAACCTTAGTTTTTTGAAAGAAAGAAAGTGTTGGTAGCAACGTGAAGGTAGATGCAGCCTTGCTATATAATATATATATAATACAGAATATGCAATCAGGCTGCATCTACATTATATCAAAGTCCTTGCTATCTCTAAATATATAAATATACTTAACTATAAAATATAATACATTTGATTGATTGAAGGAATAGCTCTAGCTGGGGTCAACTGCACACTACAGTCCGAACGGGTCTTGTTCGCGTGTTGATCAAGGCTTTCCCAAAAAGACCTAAGAAGCTCCAAATCAATTGCGGGAAGCACAATTCGCAAATTACTTTGCATGAAATATGCAAAACATAACAACATATTACATATATAGCTGCTAGGAGTTCCACCAAACGCCGGTGTTCGAAATCGTCAATGCCCGCGGCATGTTGCAAGGCCTTCTCTTACCAAACCGTTCTATCCTCACCGCTTGCGGGCCATCCATCTGCCGATCACTTGCCCACCTACTCAAGCCCAAGAATCACGGTACCCTTACAGGAAAGCTTGTGCACCAACCCCACTTGCGACCATGTCTCTGTTCCATCACCGCTGACCATCTCAGTGATATCCATCTCCCCTTCATCCAGGCACTGGTCCTGTTGAGATCATGATCAATAAGCAGTCTTGGAACATCGATTTGGCCATCAAGCAGTGGCAACTGAGGTGTCGGACAGAATAGCCGTTCTCCGGCAACATCCAATGAGCCGGCCAAACTCCTGGATCAAATCACAAATTTCAGCTTGGCTTTGTCCAAAACATGCAAGGCTGCCTTGGAAAAAGACTATTTACTAAGAAAGACTTGTTACGGTAGGAAATGCTGGCTACTGGCAAGGCCCAAACACCCTGATTTGCACTGTATATCAATGAAATTCCTCTAAGACTCTATGCAAGGCACACTTTTGGTTGCATTGGTTGGATCCCTCCTTTCGTGTTGAGCAGCAGCTTGGCGCGGACACACAGGCGGAAGGGGGCTGGCTGAGCTGACCAAGAAACGCGGTCCTGGAGGGAAAGGCCATGGAGGAAAAAGAAACAGTTTTAACATGTACCTTGGGCATACATCTCTCTCTCTCTATGTATATATCCCATTAACAGGGCCCGGTCAGGCCCGGAGGATGATGATGGTTAGTAAAGGCATCCAAATAGTCAGCATCTTTGACCAACTGTTTCTGGTAATGGGGCAAGGGAACTGGCACCATCCACCATCATACATCCAAACTTGCAAATCACCATGTGTCATTTACACACCACCTATAAAGATACAGTAAATGATTAATGCACATATGTATTGAATGAATGAGTGGGGGAAAGAACGTTAAACACCTTGTCTGTTTAAGGATCCAGCCTTCAGCATTGGACATGCTGAAATATCTCATCAATAGAGGTATGCTCAATCAACACTATAATATGTTAGCCGCCCTTTTTTTCCAGTTACACCATGTTACACCGACGTCCTTGGTTGTGACGGCAGCCGAAAAATACCTGCACGCGGTTGAAGGACACGACAGCGAGGAATGAGATCAAATCAAACAAGAAAAATAGATCGTTGACACCCTGCGTGGTTCTCCACTCGTGCGATCGGACAAAACTCCTGGAGCCGTTCTCAAGCAGTCAACATCTGTCAAGCAGTGAAACCTCCGACCAGTCCTTTCAATAACAAATCATGAAAAAGGTCAACATTGTCTAATGCACTCTTCCAGTGAAGGGTCCCACTTTCCTTGCCAAGCGTGTCTTTGTGCCTGATGCTTCGAAGCCTTGCCTCAACGTGTTTAACCCTTTTGGGAGGTCATGACGGTCATGGGGTGTATGTGCAAGCAGGACATGACAACCCCATGATCGCAGGCTGAGCTGGAAGAAACCACGTCAACCACCAGGTGAGTCTGAGCTGTCTGATCCTGACTCCATCCGCTACACCAAGCAACGCCTGCTGCTGTCGGAGGGGTCCCGGTCGGACTGCAAGCGCAGAAGGCCACCATCCACCCGGACGTTCTCCGCACGGCACATGGCGGAGCGACAGGCCGTGATGTTCAAGCCTGCAGTGGGAGCAAACAGATCCACTGGAAGGTCTGTGGACCTGGAAACCGCTCTTACGTAGCAGCACATAGGTAGCAACACATACCCAACCCTTGTGCCTCACAAATGCCCCTGCTTCAAACAGCCCGGGTACTGTAAGTTGGGAATTTGGGGGTTGGCTCGGGAGATTCTTTTGAGGTCAAGTCTCAAAACACCAGAGCCCCCCACACGTGTACGCGCTCGCTTGCACACGATCGCTCATGCTGATCACAAGGGTCGCCCGCGTTCCACTGTCGTTGCTGCTTCTGTCGCCCGCTTCCCACGGTTGTCCCAGCAGTTTGACACTATCGAGATGTTCAGCACAAACGGGTATAAAAAGGCAAAGTCATTGCGAGTACTTATTGTATCGTATTAGCAAAGTATACTGTCAGATTCTTATTTTTCCTGCTTGCTTGTCTTCTTCTTCTTGTTGTGCATTCTTCTTCTTCTGCTTTGTTTTTCTTTTTCTTGTCTTGCTTCTTCTTTTCCCTGCTCTCTGCTAGTTTATTTTTCCTGCTTGCTCATCCTGTTATGAAGAAATCTAGCGCCAATCTAGCGCTGCCTTGCTGTATCACCATTGTCTGCTGGGGGCCCGCTTCCAAACGAAGACTTAAAAACACATCTCCAATGGTCCAACCTTAAAAGTTTACGTTTATTTATATGTTTTTGAGTAGGGCTTTATCTATTTAAAATAACTCCTGCATCGCATGAGTTTTTGGCCACCCGTCTCGCCACAAAGGCCCAACCTGCCTGCCACAGGAAGATCAATGCCACGATACCCTCCCTGGCCTCAAGTGGTGCCGAAGGGAGGCTCAGCCAGGCTCAGTTGGTACACAGCGACATGATGCATTAGCCTAATGAAAGCATGGTTTCAAAGCGTTTGGATCAAACAACCACTGTAATTTTGGAGTATGGAGAGAACTTGTTTGTTTTGATGGTTTGAAGGGTGGCACGCCGGGGGCCCAAGTCTGCCCAGTGGCTAGTGACGATCTGCCAAAATGACCTCAAGCTCGATCTGCCCGACTGAAGCGTGTCGCAAACGAACATATATAATGAGCACATGATAGCCGCATGATATATAGAAGCGCCAAACATATCAAAGCTGTCGCAGGATTTGATTATTGACCTGAATGTCCTGGAACACTTCGGTGAAACAGGCAGTGTTCTTTTTAAGGGCAGTCTAGAACAAGCACGGTGACACGGCATAAGCATTGTGAAGTATGGTGCCAAATGTGATCATGATGAAACTTCGTGGAACTCCAATGCTTAGTGAACTGACTGTAGTGGATCAGTGCTGCAAAGAGGGAAAGAACTGTTTCAACTGAAATGCATTCGCAACTCGCAACCAAAGTAAATCAAGGTCAAAAAAAACAACGTTCAGATCCTCTAGGATAATTATAGATTTGTATAGGCATACGGTGAAAATACATCACTGCTACATCAAACACATAGTGGCATCGTGTCAAAAGCAGTGTTTTTTTTTTGTGTTTGTTTCGCAATGTGCAAACAGCAAACATGCACAGGTGGTATGTGAAGCCAGTTATGGCAAACGTCAAAACATCTTTGAGCCTCAATGTGCCTCAATCAAAGGGTGTACTACTTACAAATCATCGAAATCACTCATATGGTTGCGAACGGAGTCATATCTCGGCCAAGTTCACTCAGTGCCAAGTGGCGGGTCCAAGTGGTCACCTTCAAAGTCATCAGACCATTCCAAAGTCCAAGCCCCTGTGTCCTTAGATGAGGGAGGAACAACTTAAGGTGGCTTCGGAGCTATAGTGGAGCTATAATGTACTACTAGTATAGTCAAAGTAATCAGATTCAACAAATGCTACAAATCACCCAATAAATAAAAGAAATCATTCGGACACTCCCTCCCTAATTCCCTGTTCGACTTGCTAGAAGATTGCTTCCGGAAGAATCAGCACGGGCCCTTGTCAGGTGGGTTGAGAAGCACTCTCGAAGCAAGCGGAAGTCAAACTCGCTGCAAACCTGCCATCCTCGCCCAACGCGGCACCTTTTTCGAAGCACTGGCTGCTTCAAAGCTTGAACTCACGGGTCCACTCAGGACACGACACAATGGGAGTCCACCTGCACTTCCTCAAACGAGCGGCACGTGTGACGGGCAAAGGCGCGACCGACAGCTCACACCAGATCCACTTGACATGGCCATGGAGAAAGGGCAACACGAGGCGATGCCTCGTGAAGAATGTTACTTTCCATGCCAAAACATGCCAAAACTAAAACCCTTGTTGGAAATGAGGTTCCCTCGTGGAACATCTTGCAGGGATGATTAAAACTTGACCCCTTGGCCACTCATGCCACTCATCCTAACAAAGCAGCAAATGATGTGAAGCTCACCACCAAATGATGTGATTCGATGCTGGGAACCTGATGTTTCTCTGATCAGGTATTCAAGGACTTGCAAGGCTGGAGAAACAAAGGGCCTTACTGGCCGAACCTTCGAAGGAGAGGGATCTGGGTACTTGCGCGTAGAATACGTGATTCTTTGTTCAAGGACAAATAGTCTGCCAAAAAGTTGAACATGACCCCACCGAAAGTCATCAAAGCATTTATATGTGTTCTTCAGTTTTGAGCTGCAGCCCCAGTATTTATAAAGAGCAGGAGGACCTGTAAATTGATGGTCTTTTTGCACCTCCAGTTGAACTGCGATAGAAATCCATAGAAACGGCTTGAGTTCCGTTCAGTTCCTTTATGTACTATCAGCATCTATCAGCATCCGCCATCCGGTTGCGTTCACTAGCAGCTAGCAAATCCAATAAAGGGGCTTTCGCATGGACAAACCATTCCCATACTCCGCTTCCTGCCTCCTGTGTCCTAACCCTGCGATTAAAAAGTCCAACGGTGTCTATCTGAGTGAACCCAAAGAAAACCAAGTACCTAAACTATACATCAGTTACATCTCAAAACTGGAATCGATAAAGTATCTTGTTTGAGCAGTTCTGCTGGGTCTCTTGGGCCTGATTGGTGCCCTGCTGCCCGGCGGCTTCCTGCTCTGCCAGGCGATTTTTCAGTGTGCCCGGCGGCCGGCGCGGAGCCCAGCGACAGGTGAGGCCACGGTGGCAGCCCCTGATCGGCTCTAAAGCTCCCTGCACGGATGAGGAAAAAACGCCGCAAAGTGGTGGTTCATGTGGACTCTTTATTCCACCATGATTTCACCGCCTGATGAATAGGTGGCACATGGTTTTACAATCCAATTGGAGGAGGTTTTATTGATCAACGGTCTACCTTAGGACGGTGTGACGATCCTTCACGACCGTGACATACCATGACCCTGGCTCATGATCCCACATGGCACTGCACGTGACTTCCACGCCTCCAAGCCCAGACTGGAGACCATCCGCTTCAGCATGGCATAGCTAGAGTTGGCACCTGTACCATTGGCCTCAGAATGCATCAACTCTCCTCTCCTGGGTGATGTCAACTGTTCCAGAAACCCAACCTATGGACCATAGCCGATTGGGCCAAATGCGTCCCGAGGCAATGAACATTTCGCAGGCCAGATTGGCCCAGTGCAAGCTGGGTAAATACAATCAAGCACCACAAACTCATCCAAGTGTCATCAAATAATAACGGCCCCGCCTCATATGACCCATAGTACTCATACACCCTAACAAAGGATGCAAACCCTGGCCTTGTTGGCTTTCATCAGCGTGTGCAAGTGCCCGGGCCTAGGTCAACAAACCGCGCAATTGGCAGGAACCTAGCTTCACTGAAACATCTACAGGACCAAAGGGTCACCCCGTCACCCCCCCTAAACAACATCACTTCGACAGAAGCTTGCATCACTTCAAGTGAAGTTACCAAAAACTTGTGTAATTGGTTTCCCCTCTGCACCTCCCCGTTCGACTCAACGGACACCGGTGCTCTTTGTTTTCTCGCT